CAATATATCGCAATACAAAAATGCACAATATGTAGGCTATCATAGATTGTGACTATGCATTGTGTATCGTTCAACTAAAATAAAAAGTCCTGTGAGAAAAAAATCTAGTTTGCTGAGTTTTTACTAAGTCCAAGCCCATTCATTTCCACCGTCAATGTTACATCAAATTTAGCATTTTAATCAACAGTAAAATCAATTATTAAAATTTCATTGGAGTATTGGAAAAATATGGTATTGTAATAATCATATTATATTTAAGAAAATTATTTTAATTGTGTATATATATATATTTAAAACGATAATTTAAATGTGTATGTAGAAAATAGATGTGCAGTCTAAATGGTTAAATTAATCTGAATGAATTATTTTACAAATTTGTTTATATGAATGATTCAATGACTCACTCATAAATATTTGTTTCAATACTGGAGGAATTGGTGTTTTTAAACGAATCTCTTGAATGAATGATTAAATTACATATATATTGCCACTTGTCATCACTAGGGTTGTAACGGTATACCGGTATGACGGTTTATCGCGATATTGACATGTACGATTATCATATCGTGCACATTTGCTTATCCGCGGTAAAAAAAAAAAAAAAAAAAAAAACAGAATTCACCTACACTGCCGCATGCAACTTCTTTCAGCTTGACTGCTTACTCCATATCCGTACAGCGCTGAAAATGTCCGAGACAGAGGCTGCGAATCTCTATCTCCCGCCAAGTATGGGAATATTTTGTAACTTATATCCGAAAAACGATCGTGATGTTGTCCTTGAAGATGGATATCCAGTTTGCAAGATATGTGGACGAAGAGTGGCTGCAAAAGGAGTAAACACGTCGAATAGGTTCTCCCATATTTAGGAACACCATCCCTCCGTGAAGATAAAGGTTATTCATAACTTTTATAACTTAAGGCCATATTATTTCTGTCATGCTGAGGGAAACCCGGTCTGTCAAAAAGACGCACACATGCGTCTTTTTGCGTTACAAAACAGATGCCACGTAAAATGTGCGATTTAAAAAGATAGATGGATAAATAAAGCAAAATATAGCTATGCAGTAGCCTAAATCAAATCGCGATGTGCGTGTCTGTGAATATACAACGCAAAAAGACTGGTGTGCAAGCCCCTTCAGCGTGTCTCTGAATGAGCAGCGCCGTTTCGTCTAGTAGATCTAGTACACACTCAAGTACGCATGACGCTCATGGTTTTTAAAGCTGTCTCAGCCACTACGAAGACGTGAACACATGAACATATCTAGACAGAGAACACTTAATGTGCACTTTATAATTATTTTTTTTAAAGAATAATCATCAAATACACTGACTGAAACTCATAGGTGTTCAGTAGGTGTTAACGCGGGGTTAAATGTAACACGGACCGTTTACACAGTTCGTCAGGATCAAGCAGGCTGTCTTTCCGCTATTTTTCTCTTGCTGCAGAAGACGGTCTCCCGCGAATTTGCGGAAAGTTTTGATTATATTTCGTGAAGATACTGGACAAAGAGTGTTTTGACACCATGAAAGTAATTTTTTTCATCATAGGTTTTTTTCGGTTTCTGAGTTGGGTGTATACGTTTCCAAATCTAACTTTATATTGCCTTAATCACCGTCTTGTTGGCTCAAACATAGCACCGTTTTGAAACATGTCAGCAATTCCTAGCGACTGTTAGCTAGGTTTAAAATATGTAATACACAGCGGGGTTAATTCTAACAGAGTGGTACAACTAAGCCTCCAAGTGTAGCCTACAATGATAATCAAATGAAAACGGAGCCACACAACTTTTCAGGTTTGAGTATACATTTAACTTTGTTAGACGTTCACAAACAATGTTGGGATTTAAAATGTTTAAAATTTAGTGTTCTATGAATGATAACTTGTTTATTTATTAAAAATATGGCCTGTTATTAATGCAATAAACCCTTTAAATTTTTATTTTAAGCTAATTTATATTATCATTACTGTTATTATTAATAATAATAATAATTGTACATCATGCAGCTGCCACACACAAATCTAATTTAATTGCAATTACAATATTTATAATTTTATTTATTATTATTTATTGCAAAACTATGCAGCCCTTTTCTATGTCTCTATCCATGATATTGATCTATAATAGAAGGATGATTGGATGAGGGATATGTATGGATATCTGTCTATACAGATGCACAAACAATACTAAACTATACAAATAAAATAGTACTGAATTATGTGTGTTACACACAAGTGTTACAACTAACCCCTCTCTCTGTTACAATTAACCCCGCATATGGGGTAAGTTGTAACATTTGCACTTCTGTCACTTTCAGTCCAACTGTACGAAAATGGTAGGTCCTAGAAAAAAACTTTAAGTGTTCATTTGTAGCAGAGATGTGCATGTTGCTTGTGTAAAAAAAGTATTAATCTAACCTAATTATTTTTTAATTAATTGAGCCAAAAGCAAAAAGTGTTAGGTTGTGCCCCGCTCTCCCCTACAACCTGGAAAAAAAAAGTTTGGTTTAGCCTATGATTAAAATATATTACTATTGTGTATAGTTTTTTTGTCCATGTTTTAATTTATTAAACTTCTCTTGTGTAGACAAACTAAAGTTGTTACATTTTATCTGATTGCATTCTCAAAAATACATTTTGTATTCAATCACAGAATCCAGATCAGTTATTTCAGACAACCCAGAATTTCTGAGGAAATAAATATACATTTCATAAAGACTCTATTGAAAAAACCTTTGTTACAATAAACCATGTTCAACCAAAAACATTATATGTTTTTATTCATTTAAGGGCCATTGTAGCTGATGCTGATTATAATAATGATAGTTTTAATATCGTATACCGTGAAACCGTGAAACCGTGATATTTTCTGAGACGATTATCATACCGTGAAAATCTCATACCGTTGCAACCCTAGTCATCACCTGGTTGCGTAACAATGTAGCTAGTTGACACAATCGTTTCTTGAAGTGCCAAGTTACTTTCCAAAGGTGATTTTCTCTATTTTGATGGCTAACGTATTTCTGTAATAATATGAATATTTGTAGCACAGAAGTAACAATACTGTGTTGTTGAAAAGACTAGCTGTTTTATACCTATACATCATGTTCTCTGGGTCAGCGGCAGAGCCAATGCAGGTTTGAATGTTCCAGTGTGATTTTTGTCAAAGGTTTAATTGACAGACGAATTGTCATTTAGGAATGAGATCATTTGAATAATTTGTTGTTTGAATCAAGATTGCGAATTATTTATTTTTTGCTTTTCCCCTCTATAAACGATTCTCAGTGGATATTAGTTTAGCCAGAGTCACAGTTTCGCTCTTCACTATCTCTGAAACACGTAGTTCCTAAATCACAGCCTGAAGCCATTTTACGATTTTGGTTTAATGTAAAAAATCTCAAATCTAATTTTGCCGTTATAGCCGATTGGTTTTCGCTTTCGATTGAGCATCATCCTGGTCTCTTTAGCATGTGAGTTTTTAACTTTAAACTTTAACTTCAGTCTTTAAGTAGAATGTGATCTGAATGTTCGTAATCTACTTCCAGGTAATCTGCTCTCATTGCATTATGCAACCTTGCGCATGACATTTGACGCAGAAACTATGACTGTGACAATTGTTTAGTAATCTTTTTTAGTTGGTGTTCTTCCAGGCACCTGTGCTGTTTTGAGAGGGAGTGAAAGGTCACTGAGGTCTGTTTGAGATGTAAAATGATGGTCTTGTCTGTCGGTATTTGTTGGTCCAGAGAAGGCTTTTCAATGGCTAATTGTGTACGTGGTCTGCTGTAATCTGTTTTTAAGAGCTTGACCGATACCTTGCAAAACAATACATGACCATGGATTTAGACAGAAATAGCCCTTGCAGTGAAGTGAACTGTGAATTCAGATATGGCCTCAATCACCTTCTTTTTTTTTTTTTTGGGGCCATTGGCTGGGCACCAAGTCTGTGTAAGGATGTTAAATTATATATACATATGTTATAAATAAATAAATATATATATATTGGCAATTAGGCTAACATTTTGTCTGAGCATCTTGTAAATTAGGCTACAGTACATGTTTTGTTTAGTGGTCTGTTCAGAATTGTGTGAGAATTGTGAACTCTGTTTGAAACAACAACAAATAAATTGTGATTCTCAATTTGTACAGAATCGTGCTGCTCTAATGAACAGTGACCCAGTGGTGCAGGCTAATGTCAATGACTTGTCTGTCTGTCTGCCAATGTGTCGGGCACGAGATGGATTATTCTGGTTCTTTGTCTAGAGGGACTGCTGATCTGTCTGTCTGTCCATTTGTGTTGTCCTTGAGTCATTATCATTCTGTGTGTCCTTTAGAACTATAGGCTAGAAGTATACAATGGTTAGTTTGGCAAAGCCTTGGTCCTGTTGAGCAAAAACGTCAATTCTTGGGTCACTGTGATGGTTACAAACCATAGTACTCAAAGGGGGCAGTAGTTACACTCAAATCTCTGTGCCATTAGAGATTGTTATATAGATGCATGTTGAGAGCGTGTTTGTGATTTCTGTCATAATGGTAGCTGTCCTGAAAGGGAAAAAAAAACAGACCAAAGCCAATTTAAGGAACAATTTACACTAGTATACACTATAGTGACCCATAATTCATTAATATGTTTTGGAATATAACAATAGGCCTGACTGTAGCATAGCTTGAAACTGTCTGAAAATGAAATGTTAACGTAGTTATAAGCCTTTTTTTTGAAAGGGTAGCCTAGATGTGAAACTGGGCCATGACTGCTTTACTCAGGAAATGTCTGGTAAAAACCGAGTGTTTTATACATGCCATATAGTGCATGACCCCGTCAATGAACAAGATGAGACATGAGGAACATGAATTAACTGCTCATTTTGTAGGTTTTTCTTTTGTTTGTTTTTTTTCATAAATGTCATGCGAGCTACAGTTTCTACAAACTTTTGGAGGATTTTTGTTCAGTGTTATTTCCAAGGATCTTTGTTTTGACACTGATGTTGGGTATGTCTTTCCATAGGGGCATCTGTCTGAGGGACTGGTCACTAAATGGTATCGTTCTCCTCGTCTGCTCCTTTCCCCAAATAACTACACCAAAGCCATTGACATGTGGGCCGCTGGGTGCATCTTTGCTGAAATGCTGACTGGAAAAACACTCTTTGCAGGTATTAAACATTGTCTCTGTGTGACTGTATTCTGCCTAATTGTTTTAGTTCTTGGTGACTATCTTCTATTATCTTGCACACACAATGATCAGGTAGTTGAAGGTCTTTTCCTGTGGCCATGTATTAAAATTAATCAGGACAACTTGTTTTTTGTTGTTGTTTTTTTCTTGCTTGCGTTGTAGTTAAGAGAGAGGAGCTCTTTCTGTGAACTCAAACTTTTTGGAAACTGGGACAGAACTGTTGGTTTTGGTGTATTCTAGTTTGGATGCAGGCTTAGGAAATATCTGGCAATTTTAAAATTATGATTTCCTGGCCCTCAAAAGTTATTGAAATTAAATAAAATTGTAAAATATCATGGAAATGTCCCTATTGAATATACCAGTATCAGTCTCTCAGCTCAGTCTCTATAGATGTATTTTTACAAGTCTGTTTCCAATAATCCTTAACAACTGGAAAGGTCATGGAAATTCATTATTGAAATGAAGGTTGAAATTAGCCATAAGTCTTGGCAAGCATGCACAACAAGACCAGTTTTTTGAGTGTACAAGTTGTCAAATATTGACTGAGCATTTGCTTTGACATTTTGACAGTTTATCTGAATTAAACATTTGTGTGTGCGCAGGAGCTCACGAGCTGGAACAGATGCAGCTGATTCTGGAATCCATTCCGGTCGTCCATGAAGAAGACCGACTGGAGCTTCAAAGTGTAATACCCGTCTTTATCAGGAACGACATGTCAGAACCACACACGCCGCTTGCCAAGTTACTGCCTGGTGTCAGCCCTGAGGGTAAGTCGAAGAAGCATATTTTCAGAATGCATGCAATTCATAGAAACAATTTATGGATGCTTGAATTCCTGGGAACTTGAATACCACTCTCCCTTCCCATGACCCATTTTTTTTTTTTAGCAATCCATAGCATTCTCTATGATTTTAGAAAATGATCTCGGTTGATGCTAAGCCACATTGGATTGGTAAAGGAAAGCTAAATGGCAAGCTAAATCTGATGTATTATTGTTCATTTGTTTATGGCAGCCTTGGATTTCTTGGAGAAGATCTTGACCTTTAACCCCATGGACCGACTCACAGCGGAAGAGGCTCTTGCTCACCCATACATGAGCGATTACTCATTCCCATTAGACGAACCAGTGTCATCGCACCCCTTCCACATTGAGGATGAGGTGGATGACATCTTGCTCATGGATGAGAGCCACAGTCACATCTACAACTGGGACAGGTGAGCTCACGCTTAATGGAGAATTACCAGCATCATTCTATGAGACTTGACCTTCAGTAATGCTACATTCACACCGGACGCGAATAGGGCGTCAGGCGCGAATGATTTCAATGTTAAGTCAATGCAAAGACGCTTTACGCGCGTGAAAAATTCCTGCGGCGCGAATGAGGCGTGGAGCGCGGCGCGAAAGACGCCTCATTTGCGCGTCAAGTTGGCGCGAATGGCGCGTTGTGCATTCACGCGTTTGACGTGAATTCGCGTCTGCCGGCCGAGTTGAAAAATCTGAACTTTGCCGTGAATTCGCGCCGCGTTAACCAATCAGGAGCCTAGCTGCTTGCTCACGTGGTGAAGTGTCTGGATGCTTCAATAAATTATTTTGTTAATATGACTAAATGCATGGTGGGATTATGCACAACAAAGCAAATGTTTTATCACTTAAAACATTATTTCTATATACGAGACATGTTCATTTTGTATTGAATGTTATTCATTCCATATCTAGAAATAGTATTATGTAAAGACAATCAACATATGTGCATAAATTCGTGTCTGGACGTGAGAGAGAAAATAATCACAGGACAGGTTAATAACTTTTGAAGGCTGGCTCTATTTATCATCAAAACAAAAATAAATGACAGCTAGATTAGATGGATGAGGGCGAGGGTGATCCTCGCTCCGATGCGGGACAACAGGTCATCAAACTGGGTGCGTGACAGGCGGAAGTACCGCTGACAGCGACCGTCATCCAGCGCAGCTCCTGGAGCGAGCAAATGGTGAAACTCGCCAAACGGTTCGCCTCCGAAGGGTCCGTCCGGTGGACACAAATATACGGCGACGATGATCCCCACGCTGCTGTTCTGCTCTCCAGAGTAAATACAGAGCGGTAACTCTCTTGATGAATGCTCGGTCGACATAAAAACAATGGCCGCCGACGGATTTTGATTCTGACGCGCGTCACGCGCGTAAATTTTGCTTCAAACTTTATGCGCGGCAGTTTCGCTCTTGACACGCGAATTAACACTAGTGGTCAAGCGTCAAACTAGACGCGTCAGGCGCGAATTTGACGCGCGATTCGCGTCCGGTGTGAACGTAGCATAAGAGCAGAGTAAGTGTAAGCAAGGCCTATTTAAGGAAGGTCAGTTCTCCTGGCCGTCATCTTTCCAGTGGCAAGATTGCTTCTGGGCATATTTCAGTACAGCTTCTACACAATTGAAAGATTAAAAGCAGAAGTCTCCAAAACTGTTCGTCAAGCTACCCAGATCAATTTACGTTTGTTACATTTGTTGTTCTTTTTCCCACTGTAGGTACCATGACAGTCAGTTCTCTGATCAGGACTGGCACCTGCACAGCACCCATGAAGTGGAAGATGTGCAGCGTGATCCTCGAGCTATGTCAGACGGCACAGACGAGGAGGAGGTCCAGATCGACCCTCGGAAATACATGGATGGAGAGTGCGAAAAGTTCCTAGAGGATCCATCATTCGACCTCCTCTCAGAGCACTCGTGGCAAGAGGAAGATCACCACGAGAACAAGTACTGCGACCAAGAGTGCAGCTACACTTGCAACTACAAAGCGGTTTCCCCATCCTACCTGGATAATCTGATCTGGAGGGACAGTGAGGTGAACCACTACTACGAGCCCAAACTCATCATCAACATCTCTAACTGGAAAGAACAACAGAGCAAAGAGAAGTTTGACAAAAAGGGCAAGAGCAAGTGTGAGAAGAACGGACTGGTCAAGGCCCAGATCGCCCTCCAGGAAGCATCTCAGAACCACAGCGTGGCCGAGAAGGACCGTGAACAAGAAAAACACCAGAACCACAACCAGGGCTTTGACTTTGACTCGTTTATCGCCAGCACCATCAAACTGAGCCTCCAGCCGGAATCCGGTGACGTCGACCTCCTAAATGAGTTAAACACCTCAGTTTCCCAACTGGACACTCGTGCTCCTTGCGGCTCCATGTCCAAGTCCATCAGTCAGGAAAAAGAAGAGAAGTGTCTAGTCAACCTGGCACAGCTTGGTGTTCGGACACCCTGTCCTTGGGAAAGTTTCACGGACACCGGCGTTGCCGAGAGCAGCCTGATCGACGAGGCTTGCTGGGATGTCCGCAAAGACGAGCAGCTCCAGAAGGAGAACAGCAGCTGCCAGAGCAGTTACCTAGACCGGCTCTTCAGCAAGCGGGAGGAGGCCGAGTCCGAGATCCCGGAGCCCGTCGAGGTGCCTGCTCCGGAGGGTGACTTCATATCCTGTGGCGGCGAGATAGTCTTTAACATGCAGCTGGAGTCTCTGGCCATTCCGGGGTTCGAAGGAGCGGCTGACATTCCTCTGAAGTCCATCCAGGCCACGCTAACGCCCTCTGCTGTTAAGCGCTCCCCACAAATCGCCCATAAAACCTACAGCAGCATTTTCAAGCATTTGAATTAAAAAAAAAAAAAACCCTCCCCGTTCAAGCAGAGTCCAGCTTATTTTTTATAGAGTTATGTATTTCTGTACTTGAATCATTTATCTTTTTACATATGGTTACTTTTTAAGGAAACTTTTTCTTTTTTTAAAATTTGTGGATTAAATGTTAATGAATTCAGTTCGTAAGTTCATCCAAAGTGCTGGACTGTTTTCCTACATATGACACGTTTTTTTTTTTTTTTTTGCCCTCTAATTTTCAGTTCCAACTCTGAAATATATATATATATATATATATATATATATATATATATATATATATATATATATATATATGTGTATGTGTATATATATATATATATATATATATATATATATATATATATATATATATATATATATATATATATATATATATATATGTGTGTGTATATATATATATATATATATATGTATGTATGTGTATATATATATATATATATACACACACACATGAAATTAACGGCATGACATTTGCACACGGTGTACTGTAGATTCAGAAACAGGTTAGGGAAAGACAGAGGAACAACTGTTTAGTAGAGAAATGGATGGTTTATTCATTGCAAGCAAAGGAATAGAGAAAAAGAGGGTGGAATAATGCACTAAGTGGGAGATGCTGCCACTGACATCATAATGTGACCTTCTGACTGACAGCCAATAGGACAGACATAAGCAGTGCGTCTTGGCCTTTCTCTTCCTTTTTTTGTTTATTAACTAAGGCTAATGTATTTATTTGACCTTTTCCACCTCATTTCCATTTAAAAGCCTTTTGTCATTTTGTTCATACTGTAAACTTCCTCAAACGTGATGCCAGCACAGCAAGCGTCGGCCGTAGGCTTGCGATGCGATAACTAAGTTCGTAAAGGCGTTATCTACCTCAAGGTAACAGCAGAAGGTTCCGTCTCCCAACTGTAGTGCTTTAAAGAAACACTTGCCCTCTCAACTATGTAGTGCACAGCGATTTCTATTTTTCATTTTGCATTTGCCATAGTGAAGTGTTAAGATCATTTATTTATTTTTAGCAGATGTGATATTTATTTTAAGAACGTTGTAATTTTTCAATGTGAGGCATTGGACTTCCATTCTGGTCTGTTTTGGCACTCTGTGTTCGTTTAGCCGTGGATGATCGCTCATCCGTTTGAGTTGTACAGAAATTCATGACGCTCTCCCAAGTTCCAGCGTTTGTTTTCATAAGGATTCACCATAAGAATTTTTTTTTTTTTTAACTTGTAGGTGCTTTGTACGAGTGGAATACTGCTTTGCGGCATTTTACGCGCCTAAAAGTCTTAATTTTGTTTTCTTTTTTTTTATATATATATATATTTACGTACATATTGTTAGAAATTGTGCATGGAAGAAAACCAATGGAAGGTACATTTAAAATAAAGTTAATGGTGAAGTATATTGTAAGTCATTAATTTTATTTTAATTGTATGTTTTTATTAAAGTATTTTTTTTCCAAGCGAGCATGATTGAATTAGATTCAGATATAGCATGTAGAACACTTAAAAGATTTTTTTTTTCATTGTTTTTTGTTTTGTTTTTGTTAATTTTTGCCTTTTAATTGCTGGTTTCGATTCTGTTATCATTGGTTCCACTGTAAAATAACATCAATAAAATGGCCAGCAAGTGTATGACTGTAATCTTGTCTCGTTTATTTATTTATTTTAATACATGGACAGAAATATGTGAATATTTTTGGTTTCAGAAGAGGGTTTTCCCTCTGTTCTTGTGCAACTAACTGCTCATTATTTACTGTGGGTATGTTTCATGAGCCTTAGTCACTAGTACCAGCAACTATCACATGTGCTCTTTCATGATATAGGTATTATGCGCAAGGGTCATTGAGTAAAAATAAAAAAAAAATCTTGGTCATAAATATTGTTCAAATACAAATTATGGACCTGGTACCGCCAGTCCAGAGAAATCAAAGTACCAGAAGCAGGTTAAGCCAACATGCTATAAAATAGATACTGTAAAACTAAAAACATTAGCTTAAGTAAGATTATAAGCAATACCAATGACTTTATATCAAGTTGTCTTGTACAATTTTGAGCTCTGATAAGTTGTTGATGGTGGGCTAGGACCTTTTACAATGAACCAGTTCAAGTGACCAAAAACATTTATTTAAATAATGAAAGACTTTGTTGTTTTCCTGTAGCTAAATGGATTTCTTCAGTTAGATTATACGATTGCAAACTTAAATGTCCACATATTTCACAGACATATCACAAGATGACATTTACTGCTCCGTTAATGAAGAGCTCTGATGCAAAAGATATAAGACACAATAATTTTTAGGTTTTCAGGAGGAGTTGCTCCTATAATGATTGATTATTAGCAATGGATGTTTTAAAGGAGTATAGTCCACTTTAAAAAAAAAACTTTTGCTGATAATTTACTCACCCCCATGTCATCCAAGATGTCCATGTCTTTCTTTCCTCAGTTGAAAAGAAATTAAGGGTTTTGATGAAAACATTCCAGGATTTTCTCCATATAATGGACTTCATTGGGAACCAAATGGTTCTTGGATGACATAGGGGTGAGTAAATGATCAGCAAAAGTTTTTTTAAAAAAAAGTGAACTACTTCTTTAAGAGTCTGCTCTGATGCCAGGATGGAATCCTGTGACCCTGAGGCAGAGAAACTCCCTTCACTGATGGGGTTGTTTCATTTCTGAAATGGTTTCATTTCTCACTCAATTTGTGCTACAGACATGTATGCAAATATTGGGGATTGTTTTGAAGAGGTGTGATATCATATCACTTTTCTAAGTAATTTGAATGGCAATTTTTTTGCATGGTGGAAAGATAGGTTTACTTTAAAGAGGCCAGAATATCATAGCGTCCTTGGACTGTTGACTCTGGCCAGTAAGGAACCACCTGGCAACATGACAATGGCCACCCAAAACAACCTTAGCAAACAGCAACATGCTTCATAAGTTCACCATCACACCTGAGAATGTGAAAAACTATTAAGCTTTCTAATTTCAAATGAACGCAATATGCTCCAATAAAATCTGAGTTGCTTGTAAGATCTAAAGGGGGATGGTTCCCATTAGACCACAGAACTCTTCTGAAGAGCAGCCCAGCTGTGAGTTTCAGCCTTATGCCCGGTTCCTTAGGAACATCAGCCAAAACATGCGTGTGGTTACCATGTCCACACAGCCTTGAGGGAGTTATGTTCTTCTACGCACACACATTAATCAGTTGGTTTCATTAGGATGTTGACATGAATTCCAGTCCAGAGAGAGACGGGTTTCATGCCCTCAGAACATACTACACTAAGCCTGGGTGTGTAGGGAAAATGGTTAACATTTACAAAGGAGATTTTTACATTTACTTAAGATATTGTGTTGCACTGACATTTCAGTGGCACTTTAAAGTGAAAAAAGATTTTAAAAAAACAATTTTGAAAATAAATCGAGAAGCAACCCTGTTTCTTGAGGGTTATTCGGCAGAGTTGAGGTAATTTTATACAACAATGATGTACTCAAAACGTGAAAAACTTTCCTTTGCATTTTTCGCGTAAAGACGAATTGAAAAATTGTCAAACCGACCCCCATTCATATACGGATCTGCAAAGAAGTAAAAAACGTCTAAATAAATAAAGTAATAATGCTGTATTATGCATGCCAGGCCAGTAGTTGGCGGTGTCACTTTGTAGAAACACTACATGACTACAGACTGAACCATAGACAGTATAAGAAGTGGACAGAGCCATCTCGTGGCTCATGGCAAACCCGTCTGGTATTCTGATTAATTATTTTGTCATTTTGCCTACACCTTTCCTCGATTGCCCGCGAGCTTCTCTACTGTGCGACCGAGAGTCACATGGGTATGACGCAATCGTTAGCCTACTTTAACTAAAACTGCTTCTACGAGGCCATAACATGTTCCAGGGTAATGGAGCATTTTATACATTGTCGTGTTTCTTAAGAAATAAATAAAGGACAAATGGGGTCTTCAAACGCCTCAGATGTAAAGTTATCCGCCGTCAAAGCGACGCCAAAATGAATGGGAGTCAATGGAAATGCTAACGCAAGTGAAGTTCTGCTACAAGATGGCAGCTCCCGCGAGGCTTCAACTTCCGGTCGATGGATTACCCCCTTGGACTGAACATGTAATGCAGTGTTTCCTAACTCTGTTCCTGGCGGCACACCAACACTGCACGTATTCTTTGTCTCCCTAATCAAACCTGATTCAACTCATCAGCTCATTAACCCATCTGATTATGAGCTGATGAGTTGAATCAGGTGTGTTTGATAAGGGAGACATGGGATACGTGCAGTGTTGGTGTGCCCCCAGGAACAGGGTTGGGAAACACTGATGTAATGCATACGTATGACATCACTATTTTCACAAATTCACGTTTTTGTAGTTTACACGGAGACGATAATGTATCGTTTTCAAAAATGTTCACTTTGAACGGTTGCGATTTCAGGGCCCCAAATGCGCTGTCGTTTTATACGTTTTTAGTTGATATCTGTCAAGTAAACGGCCCCTTAGCTCCAAACCTCATCAAATACACCAGAACCAGCTAATCAAGTTGGTCAGGATTACTTGGAAATAACACATAGGTGTGTTGGAGAAGGGTTCGTTGGAACTGACGTTGGAACTGAAGCCCACTAGGAGTAGCGTTATGTTACTTAGCGAGATTAAAGTAGTAATATCAGGAGAATAAAGTAAAATTGTAATAAATTCGTAGCATTGGGATATTAAAGTAGAAATATAATAAGAATACATTTTTTAAAAGAAACCTCAAATGGGACATTCTTCTGAAATGCTGAACATGACATTGTGCAGTGACGACTAAATCCACTTTATTGATAATAAACACTATCAACAGTCAAGCAGATGAGCCTAGATGCATCTAAATGCAACTTGCAACGTTTTGCATTGTCTTTAATCTTGGATTATGGACAAATAGTGTACATAGTTACAACTGTATTAATTTTGATAATAAAAATTACTGTAGTAATTTGAATTTAATCTCAAAGCTTTTACTTTGTTCTTGTGAAAG